ATATCTCGTATATTTTGTTCACTCTCGCACAAAATGGGAGAAGAATAGCTTGGGCAAATGGGATGAAAAAGCTTGAACCAACAAAACTAAAAGGCTGCACGAGTAAATTCCAACACAGGTGGCAGCCCAACTGCTGTGAAATCGAACTTCATGACAACGATTTTAAACAAAACTTGATCAATCAAAAAAATGAACGCACGATTCAATTAATACTTTTATTATTGTAATTATTATTATTTCATTAAATTGGTAATTCGAAAAAAGTGACGGAGAAAATATTAAATTCTTCTTCAAATTATCAAAAATCCGCAAATTTTACTATGCAAAACGGAAAATAAAACTTGCATTCTTGATTACATATAAAATATACAACAAGAGGATTTTTTGCCAAATCATTCAAAGTTTCGAACTAATATATTCGATTGAGGGTTACTTTGATAAAAACCAAGGCATTATTAACGTCAAAGGTCAACAATGGAAGTTAAATCTTTTGGTTGCATGGAATAACACGTATCATAGTGCAGCTAGGCGACCAGCGGATCAATTTAAATTTCTTAATTTAAAATAAACTTTATCTCCTAAGTTTCAATATCTAGATCTGAAACCTCCTGGAGGCATTTAAAAAAAATATCTAGATTAAAACAAAATTTTAAGATCTACTGAACAGCGATGAGAATAACCTTGAAAAATCAGTAAATTCCTGTTCTCCCAGTGTACCTCCTCATACAGTAAATTTAGCGTTAGTTGGAGAATATATTGAGTAAAGTCACAGTCTTCATAATTAACCTCATATTAGTAATTGGATAATCTCTGCCGAAACTAGCAAACGGGCAAAAGGTGTGCAGAACTATCGTCAAAATACGAGAATATATTTAGCCCAGCCATTGAAAAACCCGTGTAGATCTCTGCCTCGAATTATGTTGAAGTTTAGGAAGATTATGAGCATAATTTGGGTTTTAATTACACTTTAGGGACCCCAGGCGCCGAAATTAGTGGCCCCTCCAGCAAATCGTCTCGTAGATCTCAGCGGGTCCCTAAAATCCTCCTTGACTCTCCATCGAGCGAGGCGATTCAGCACCGCTGGGCCACGTCTCCTTTGTAATAAAGTGCAGCGCGTCGCCCATATGTTCCTGTGCCTAATTTCCTAATTTCCTTCTCAGCTGCCGTGACCTTCCCAGTCTTCCGCAAGGGGCACGGTTCACAACCCTGCCTTATATGTTGATGCTGGGGTAGGGCCTTATATGTTGATGCGAGGGTAGGGCGTTATATGTTGATGCTGGGGTAGGAGAGAGATGGAGGAGCATATAACTCGCGTATCATGGATACTTTCTGTATCAGCTAGCATGTGGTTGTGAAAGGAGAAAATGACAGGGCAAGAATTTAATACAGGCTGATCCGAGTATTAAAAAAATATATATAATAAAAATAAACGTGATTTAGGTACAATGGACCGCTAGAGATACTAGCTTCTAATCCCGTTCTGAGTTGGGTTAGATTCAGGAAATTCAGTGGACAATGGACAGGCCTCCAACTTAAAAAAAAAATAAAAGATATGGTTGCGAAGGCAAAGCAATCATGACCTTCTACATTCACTAGTTAAATAGTCCCAAGTAGCCGGTGGTAGATAGTCGCAGGTTGCCACATGCGTGCATATTCAAGAGAAATGTTTTTAGTCTCCCAACACTAAATCAATATGTCAAGGACATGACACTACGCTGATCAACGAAACAAAAACTGAGGTAAATACATATAGTGCAAGGATATCAAGACGAACGCATCCACTATATGATAACAATGAACTAACAATATGAGAAAACTTAGAAGAGAAGGCTGGACAGGTAGGTCAACAATAGAAAATGTTTTGGGAGTTGGATACCTTGACGAGAACCTCTAGTTTTCTTGAGGAATAAAATACAAGATAAAGGAAAAAATTAGGGAGCATGTTAATAGAGCAATAAACTGTGGGACTGATCAGACGATCATGCGAAAACTTAGCTGCAGAATCCATGATGCTGTTGTTGCAGTGCCTTTGTAAAATTGTACCTGTAGTTTAGAAACGTGCGGTAATCGGAACTTGAAAAAAATTGTAGCCGAGAACGTCCGAAGACAAGGATAATTACCGGCAAGCATTAAGAAGAGAGATCAGCGATTGTGAAGCTTACGAACCTGCTTTATGAAAATTTCATCTTGGTGACCTAATAATATTAGTAGTGAAGTTTTCAACTTTACCAATCCCGAAACAACAACAAAATACGGTCTCATCCGCTCTCATCCGCTCCATCCTACCACTCCATCACTCCATCCTACAACTCAACCACTCCATCCTATCACTCCATCCTACCACTCCACCCACCACTCCACCCACCACTCCATCCTACCACTCCATCCTACCACTCCATCCTACCACTCCATCCTACCACTCCATCCTACCACTCCATCCTACCACTCCATCCTACCACTCCACCGCTCCATCCTACCCCTTCCCAACCATTGAACTCGGCCATGAGGGACCACAGTGGAAGGCTGCCCGCCGTCGGTTCTATTTCCTTTGAAATTATTGTGACATTTCCGAGGTCGTCGTGCATCATTTGAAACATTTGCCCTAAACCAACGCACCAGCGTCCATTTTAACTTTCATGTCAGGGAACCGGGAATGAAATTCCCACACAAAACAATTTATAGCAGTCACATTAAATTGCGGAAAATGAAATGAGATGACAATTCATAAAACGTGGATAACTGATTTGAAAATTGGGGCTTGTCGACGAGAGGTTTTATGGGCAAGTTATGTTTTGTGAAATGAGTATTGGAAATCAAGCTTAAGTTGTGAACTTTGAATTGACATAAGCGCTTCATGGCACTGAAACTTGTAATTTCCAGTTAGAAATGCAATGTTAAAAATGCAATTATTTAAGGAGAGTCGTTAATGTTAAATGTGGTCTGGGACCTTCGTGATGAACTCTTTTGTGATGCCGAAAATGTTAACTAAATATATCTGGATGAGGGTACACGATTAATAAACGAGAAAACTGAGTTTTTTTTTAACTTCAACAACCAAGTTCCACAAACGGAGTCAGATAGTAATTTTTAAATTAACATTTTTAATCTTAGCTGCTTTAAATCTTAGCTTAGCTATAATCTAAAATTAATTTAGCTGCACCGAGACCTCGATTGTTAAGACGGATTTACAGGACATCTGAAGACGAAAATATAGAAAATTTAGAAGCTACAAATGATAGTAGGATTCGTTGAGACCTATGATAACTCGAAAAATTTTCTCGTCCGCCCGTCTGTGAAGTCACCGGGCAGACGTACGGACAGACAGACGGACGGACACGACGAGCACAATAGCGCTTTTTTCCATAAATGAGAAAATGCGCTAAAAATAACAAGTGAAAGTCAGATAGAAGGGCCGTAAAAGAGCCCTGGCCTAAATTTCGGAGGCCTCTGAACAATCAGGGCCGTGGCATCAGTCGATGATCCTTTGATATTGGAGTGTTGGCTCGACCAAAGTTGGGAGGAAGCTTTTTGCTTCGTAGGTCGTCCTGCTCCGGATTTAGAGATCCAAAATGTATGTATTTTAGCATCTTTTTCTCCCGATGACAGATGCAGAATTTAGATACAGCAGCTGTATGTACTTTCGCATATTTTTTTCCGGTCACAGATACCATTAAACCATTTCATTATTTTTAATCTAAAATTTTATCGAGTTTTTCTTGCCCGCTAATTAGAGGTACGGGAATGTAACTTCATTCACATTCAAGGAAAATTAAAACACTGGCGTTCATGAATTGTTGTTTAAAGAACCCTATATAAGGGATGTGATAAAAAATCATACAATGAACTGCATTTGTAGGCTTTTTCTGCGTATAGTTTTTCTTATGCGATCAACAACCTAATCTAATCAGGGTTATTGTAGATCTCTAGAAAGAACTTCATTGGATGAGAAAAGTAAGGAAATAACTTGTCATGTAATGCGTTATACTTTGGCGCCGTGTGTCAGGAGAGTCACAGTAAACAAAATATATTTATTGTGAATTGATGACTGACGGATCTCATGTGACAATTAATTAATATAATGTTACATTTAATTAATCTAGTGTGATATTGATTAGAAGTAACTTGAAGACGATAACTTGAGACATAACTTCATTTGATAATATAATTATTGTGAATGGACAGTATTTTTTAGTCATGATGAGACGAATAATTATTTCCTCTTAAATTTCAAGTTATAATTAAATTCAGAAAGATCTGATTTGATGAGATCTTGTCCTACCGACAGGATGATATCCTGAATCCAAATTTGTTGATTAAGATATTGATTGGATGTTGCTATAACTTTTTCCGAGCGGCGAGTAAACATATTCAATTCAAGGAAAATAGCGAGCAATTAGAGATTTTATGAAATCCGTACAGCCAAAACACGGTGCGTCAAGAGACTGCAAAATGAGTAAAAATTTTGCTCTGGGTATCATTGGTCTCTATCTATTCTGGTCTATCATTGGTCTCGCTCTATTTCCCGTGGTTAAATTACCTTATTTCCCGGCTAATATTTATGCGGCATAGTGATATCCTGGCAGGTCGCGAGTGATCGATAAGAGGCTTAAGAGAATGAGTTTCAGGGGCCCTAATAAGCTTACAACGGTGTAGCCAATGAGTGACGTGGGATTGTTATTTCTGAATCCGAATAATCTTTATTGAAGTAATAATAAGTGCCTCGTATAATTGATGAAAGCCTGGGTCAACTGCAGAAGAAGCGGAAAAATATTTACTATAATGCAAACCGGGTATAGGATAGATAACTTTCATTGCAGCTAAAAATTTATCCTGAATCTCTTAAAAGAACCTGGTTTAATAGTTTCGTTGGATGAAGCTCATAAAATTTTCATATTAGTACAGCTGGTTCCAGATAAACTTCAAATGATATTGCCGTTAGACTTAAAATTTCAGAGCGTGGAAGAAATTAATGGCTGTGGAAGAAAGGACCTAAGTCTCACCTTGAGTGAAGAGCATCGCCTTGAAGCGGAAGCCGAGGTTTTTAGCGCGGCTGCTAATTAGATCCAAGACAGAGAGAGGCATTACCAGGGGACAATTACGACGCGCTCTCGCTTTATGCTCGCCCTAAGAATTGCTAGCGTCGGCCATGCAGGTGCCTGAGTTTCACTCGCTGCTCAAGATTAGACTCGACGCTCCGGAATAGCGGCTGGGCATGAGAACAACGCCAGTAATCATACGCCGGATATTATAAGACGGTGCCAAAACTCGGAACAATGCAAATGTGCGGCAAGGAAATTGATCACCAAGTAAAGAACTGATGAGAAAACGGATGGCAAGTCATGAATTATTATACGTAGAACTGCAACCACCAAACGGTTTAAAAATGTTGAACTCTCATGGGAACGGAAGGAATGTTATGACCACGAAAACGAGGATGTCTGTCAACGCAAAGCGAGTTAATTTTCTTACGAGTGATGAGTTAGGAGCAGAGTAGCGGAAAATTTAAGGAAGTAATTAAACGAGAAACGGGATCACTCAAAATTCAAAAATGAACTCTAAGATGAGATGCTTGCAGAAGCATCATTTCCACGCTGTGTCGCAATGGACAGAACAGTACCAGGCAATGCTCGTAGATATATTCTCTTTTATACATCCGACACTGTTTTTCATCTACAATTTCAAGTAAAATGCTGTAATGGACCTTGATACATGCGAGCGTAAATAGCAGTGTGAATAATGTTGTTTTACCTGATTGTACTTTTCATTAGCAGTTGGAAAAATGTTGCTTGTAAAGTTGCACATGATTGTAATTTTAGTTTCTCGATGTCCCTGGCTATAATTTACTCCATCCTCTTTACCAAAATATCGGGGACACACTTTCGAAGCCTCATAATTTGCCTTCACTCACAAGCCTGGCGCACCATCAAGCCGCAGTAGAGGCGCGCGTCTCGTGATTTAAATCTCTAGCACATCCATCACCGCTAAACCACCCGCTCGAGTTATCCTTGGGCAAAATCACTTTGGATAAGTCCATTAGTCGCTGCCGCCGTTACAAGATTGAAAAATTTGCGGCAATCTGAGCCAGTCGATATTTTGTGCCCCCAGCAACAGCAGGTCACAGTTTCCGTGCAGCCTCAAATGCGAGCAGACAGCGCCGGAGAAAATGATGTGCATTGAGGGTTTGTGGCTGCTGGACACATCCATGCACCGAGCGCGGGTCTCAGAAGCAATGTGTTCATTCACATCGACTGTCACTGGGAATGCTGGTCTGGGAGTGGATTTGTTGTAGTTAAATTTGGACTTCGACTCACAGGATATTTGGGGCAATGAGTGAAATTAAGATATTATAGTCGGAATGTAAATAAGTCCCGTAATAAAATTTTAACATCAGAAGGAGTTACTAATTATACCTATACAATATAATTTGTTCACTGAAACCACGCAAAAAGCCGATCAGGCTGGAGGAAATAGCACCTTCGAAGCGGCTAGGAGTATAAATGACTCTCTTATTTCTAGGGAGTTTTAATAATAAAATAAAATAAAATAAAATAAAATGATAAAATGAGCATCATCATCATTAAGATACCAAAAGGAACAAAATGAAACTTTCCTCGTAAGTGTTCGAAATTGTAATAACGGCAAAAAACTCTGCGGCATCCTCACCGAATGATAATCGATTAGTATAAATAATTCAAACTTAAAATGCATGGATTAAGTTGTTTGGGTCTGCTAAGAAATTTTGCCGATAAAAACATTAAATGCGCTGTAACACAATTTTAACGGTTTTGTTACAGTGTAACATTTCCATTTTGCTCGAGATCATAAGTCCGAAACTATAACTGAGACTCCTGAAATAACGACCAAAAAGTGCATTAAAGTAAGAATGAATATTAACATAAATATACAAGTAATTCTACATCAATTAAATCTAACCATAGAAAATGCTTCAAAATATGTATACAATACTGTATACACACTTTATATGTATGAACGAACCAAGGGCCTAAAATTCACTGTATTTAATTATTTCTATTCACACGAGAGCGTATCATTGATTAACATTAACGGTGCATAAAAAAATACTAAAACAACTTGACTAATTCGGCTAAAATTCAACTCACCCTTATGAAAAAATAAGTAGAAAAACCATCTCATTTAATTCCCCAACAACTGATTTGAAATCGATGCGATTTAAATAATGAACTAATAGAGTTTTCCAGCCAAACTCTTTCAAATTATGTTAGGGAGTACATTAATTCATCTAGAGCTGTAACAATGCATGACGCTCGAAGTCGTCAATTACAAATTCACACAGTAATATAAAAAATTATATTACTGTGACTTCGCGAAAACGTGAAGTCACGGACAGACGGACGGACATGGCGAGCAAAATAGTGCATTTTTTCCATAAATGAGAAAATGCGCTAAAAACTGCAAAATTAACTTAATCTCAGATTTGAAAATTCAAATCTTGAATTTTCCCCGCCACACAATCGACTTTTCTACATCCATAAAAGAACCAGTACCAAACTCGCATTGCTGTATATAGAGAGCGCGACGCGTCTATTTCTGCTATTCACGGCCGTGGCGCTCGAACAAAAAGATCTCCTCCTGGCATATGAACGGCCATTGCAAGCGAAAAGAAATACTTTGATGCATTACAAGTCTTTCGTACTGGAAACATGAGATGCTCTTGAAATACAGCTAGGCTAAAAATGCTAATAAAAAAGAGATGTTGCAATGAATTACTTTGACTAAGCGTTGCATGCACGTGAAATTAGTTCTCAATTTACATTGTAATTTTTTGCTAGTGTGGAAGCAACAAAGGGAAGTCAGATACCTATACAGTTTTCATTGTGACACTGGAAGAGAAAAATATTTCTGAATGGATAAATAAAAAGTCGTTCCTTGCCGGGCATCATCACATTTCATGTGATGGATCACCTTCCAAAAAAACATCAAGTCTAAAATCTATACTAATTGAGAGTATTATAATACCTAAAGAGCAAAATCATGATGAAAATATTTTATAAACTACAAAATACTTTATCAATTACAACAAAACAATTTCCGTCATTTCTGTACTGATGTAAGTTTAATTCATGATAAATATTCATGAACATCTCCAAAAATACAACAGCATACGGATTTACCCTGCGTGCAAATGCACTTTTTACTTCACGCTAAAGAACACAACATATTTGGCGTAAGCTACCTGCTGTGGACCGTCTCGAAATTTAGCCACTGTTCGTATTTTTTGGTTGGAAAGTCGCAATTTCAATCACGGTGGGTCGGAAAACGGAAGCGGTTTTATGCTCCGGTTTGCGAGAGAACGAACGAAGGCGAAGGCGCCGAAGGAAGTACTTTATAAGATAAATGCGACACCTCAGCAATATGGCCGCATTGATCAAATCCTCGGCGCGTAAAGCCAGTGGCGGCATAAACACTTATAATGCCCAGACCCTGCAGGCTCAGGACTCATGAATCAGAGAAATGCTTTAGTGGGGTACGGTGCTGGCCAGCATATGATATTCCTACGGTGTTTGTTCACTGGGATATAATATTCATATGGTGGTCACTGGCATATGACATTCCTATGCATGGTGGTCAACAACATATTATATTCCTGCGCGCGCGCGGTGTCACCAGCCACAGATACACGCAAAACACAGCAATATTTTGCTTGGTAACTTGATACAGAACTACGGTGTTCTTTACCGAGCAAACTTCCCTTTGATGCGTGACATGCATGCTTACTGAATGCTGGTCTCAGGGCCAGGGGCTTGCGTATGACACATGCACCACGACAAGGAATTCAAGTCAAGAAGTGGACAGAAAATTTCTGCTGCGAAAAAATTGAAGAGAAATGATGAGGGGAGATAAAGATTTAGTTGTAGTGATAGTCCCCATAGAATTTATATTGCTTTTAGCACGTCATGCCTCAAAAAATGCAATCAGCGAGCGTTTTGAGGTAAACGGAGGAAAAAAATAGATTTCGGGCAAAATGATTGGGTGAAATATTATGAATGAAAGGCAACGTAATATTATGTAATATATTTCAGGTCAGGACACAACATGATATTGAAATAATCGCTTGATGTTTTATTAAAGAATGCTTTCTAGTAGAATAATTGCACAAAATTTCTTTTGCCAATTCAATCAAATATCATGATACAGCGAACTTTGAACATCAAATTAATAAAATTATAATGGCACAACATTGAGGTTTATTTATACCTTTTCCCATCACAACTCCTTTCTGCCTACGTCCATTAAAATAATGTCATGCCATTGCATCAAGATACAAACCAGGAATTGAATAACATCACAATAACACATATTAATCAGCCCAAAATTTATATTATAGTTTCCTCGACGTTCATGTGAAGAATTATGTTGAATTATCTCAACGCATAGAGCGGAGCACGAGCGTCCCGGCAGCTTAGCTGTTCTTTGTCGTCAGCGCTGAAGTTGGTAAATTAAAGGGAGTGCCGGTTGAGACTTGCAGTTGAGTTCAAATTGTGATAATTATAGTTATTTTGTTTAGACTAATAGAGTCGGATCATAATTGGGGCTAATAGCTCTGGGTGGCTTGAATATCTCACCGAAATTATCGCTGTGACAGTGTGTGCGAAACTAGAAAAGTCCCGTTTGCGTATTACGTTTTCGCTCCCAATTGTCTGGTGACAAAATAATTTATCTCGAACGCTGAAAGACCCACTATCTAAAATAGTTGTATTTCGTCAATATAAAATTCAACGATATGTTTGCGTTATTTTTGCTCATTAAATTAAGAGTCTCAAATTGATACACCCAATTTAAGTCAAGTCAAAATTTATATATGGAAATGCAATAAATTTAAATATGGAAATGCAATAAATAAATAAATTTGAGCTCTGATAATGAGGAAGAAATTAATCGTTTCAATATAAAACTGCCAAATGAGTTCCCAACATTGCTGAAGTTTTACTTGAAGCATAAATATCAAATCTTTTAAATTTAATTTAATAAAAAGAAATAGATAAATGAAAACCAGAATCCTCTTGGTCATTCCTGCTTGAATGCACGTAACGGAAACTTTG